AATTTTAATATTATTATTACTAAATTCCCACAAATCAATTTTAAGCAACACAAGAAGCATACAGAATCATATTGTTCAATCTTATTTCTCTGCTAATTAATATTTTAGAAGCACTGCTGACAGATTGTATTGAGTCCAAGCAAAAATAATCATTAACTTCTTTTGCAATGTAATACTTAAAATCCCAGCTACAGTTATTTAGTCAACTTGGAAAGCAAAAAGTTTCATTATATAGAAATTCAAGTTTATTTTTATCCAACATTTATCTTTACATGACAAGTTGGCAGCCATTGTTTTTATTTCTAAGAATGCCTATGAGGATTATATAGGATCTCTCTCTGTGACTGTGTCACTCTTCCCCCTTCTTCTCCCTTCTTTCTTTGTATCTATCTATCTATCTATCTATCTATCTATCTATCTATCTATCTATCTATCTATCTATCTATCTCTTTCTCTGTATCTCTCTGTCTCTTTCTCTCCCTCTNCGACTCACTGCTGGTTTCTTGATCACTCTCCCTTGTCTCCTCCCCACTGGTCCAAGGCTCAGGTGCCTCCTGGTGGCCAACCAGCCTCTCTGTGCCCTGCTTGGAGTCGGAACCCTGTCCAGGGACCTCCACCTCCTCCAGAGCCGACTCAGAGGGCCCCTCACTGTCGGAGTCTGGTGGCAGCTCCAACGGCACCTGCTGGGCCACAACACATACCTATTTTTTTTTAAACTTCAGACTTGTCTTCACTGACTTGCCTTTTTTAAAAGGAGCCCCAAACACCCCATCTTTCTAATTCCTTTGATTATCTTTTTGTAATTCTCCCTTATCCTTTTTGAATGCCTTCCATGGGATCATATTCATTCACGCCATGTCCCAAAACCCCTGCCAGGAAAGACGGTCACCTTTTAGATGGAAATTAATCTTCTCCTCTTTTTTTCCCCCCATTCCTGCACTGGCGGCAGATCGGTACTTCTGGCGCCTGTCCCAGAGTCGGCATCTCACTTCTCCCCAACCGGCTGTGATCCCTCGTTTCTGGCGAGGGCTTCCTTCTGCTCTGCGCAAAGTGGACGCTGTTTATGAGAGACCTGCAGATCATCGCATCCTCTTCTTCAGTGGTGAGAAGATCACAAGTGAAAAGTGAGCTGGTCGAAGGCGGTAGGATGTCCTGTTCCAGTAAAATGCGACATGCTTTTGAGCCCATGGCTCCGGCAGATGTATGCAGTGCAGGACCAAGCACAGAAGAAGCGGACTTATTTAATTACTTTAAAGCAATTTGTGTGATTTTTAAACACAAAACACACACTCGTCCACTTTATAATCAACTGCAGGCCCAGACAAAACCTGCAGAATAAGAAGTGATTTGTTGTTTCATCTCACCTGCAAGTAGTCCTTGGTAGCTTAGTGGCCTTTTGAAACCTCCCCCCAAAAACGATGGTTATAATCCGTTTGTTTCCAGTGTCCTGTAATCATGGTAACCTTGATTTATAATATCTTTGCGGGGAAATGGTGTTTACTTTCGATTTCAGGCAAAAAAATGGTCTCTAGCGAACAACGGACTTACTTTATAACCGCTGCACTCATTTAACAACTGCCACAAAAAAGGTCATAAAATTGAGCCCAGTTACCTGCTTAAGGACATAAAGTCATAAAATTGAGCCCAGTTACCTGCTTAAGGACATAAAGTCATAAAATTGAGCCCAGTTACCTGCTTAAGGACATAAGGTCATAAAATTGAGCCCAGTTACCTGCTTAAGGACATAAGGT